GCAACCTAGGCATTGGCCCTTTGGATCAACCGCCACAGCAGCTGCCAATCCCAACAATCCCGTTGTGCTCGATGACCTCGGCAGCACACTTGTAGTTTGTGAGCCTTTCTCGATGGTGTGTAGTCCTTCGCATAGATACGCCTTGCACGCAGTCAAACATGCGAGATCACCCGCGCCAGATCTTATTTCACGATAAGTGGGATTCGGTGTGATATCACCGAAATACAGCAAAAACGATAGTGGATTCATGCACACATGGCGTCGAGCGTGGGAACCGTCGCCGAGGCGCCGCTGTCGGGAGTGGCGCGCGCGCTGCAGGAGCTGCTGGATCTGGAGGGCCTCATGAGGCGCAAGCCGGGTGCTGTGTCCACCCACCGCAAGGTGCAAGAAGTGACTGCGCAGCTGATGTTGGAGGTGGACGCGAACCCGGACCCGCCGCCGCTGCCTGGCGCGCTGGTGGAGGGCCTGGCGCGCCTGCTGTCGAGCGAAGTCAGGATCGCCGCGCAGGCGGGCGCCAGGGCCGCCTTTTGGCTGATGGGCACAGACGCCAACCTCCATGTCAAACACATGGAGCGCCCCCCATATGCGCGCCAGGTGCGGCCTCGGCGCGACTCAGGCGCCCGTAGCCGTTCGATGCACAATGAAAATCCATCCTCTCACTGCTTGCAAGGATCCGATCTGGTGCTTACGTGGTGCTCTGAGGAGACTCTGCCACCCCTGCCGCGCCACGTGTCGCGTTGCAGGCGCTTGTACCTTGCGCGGCCCCTGGCTGGCCCCTTCCCTTCTCTTGTTTGCAGCGAACATTGAGTGTCGCACTGCGCAACATGCTTAGCGCCTCCAATTCCCCCTTGATTTGACCACCCTGCGCCCCCCACCCGCAGCTTGCCCAGCAGCCAGGAATTGTTGAAGCCCTGCTGAGCTGCGCTGAAGTGTTGGGTCGCGGCGGCGACGCGCGCATGATCCGCTGCGGTAGCGTCGAGACGCTGGGCTGCGTGGCCGCCACGCTCGCAGCTTTGTGCGCCTACACTGAGGGAGAGGCCGCGGTCGGCGCGGCGGGAGGCACAGGCGACGGCGGCCGCGCCGTTGGACTGATGCAAGCGTTTGTCGTTGAAGCCGCCAGCTGCTCAAACGCCGGTATGCAAGATCTGGCTCTTGCGAGTTTGGTCCCGCTCACCGTCTTGTGCGACACCCAGCGCGCGGTGTGGGAGCGCCGCCAGAGCGGCGCCGGCGGCGCCGTTGCGGCGGCTGCAAAGCTCCTCGCCGGCGCTGGCAAAGCGCGGGGCCCGCTGTGTCGGGTCCAATCTGCGGCGGTCTACCTGGCTGGGTGCTTCACGGACCCCCCTCCTGCAGCTGCCAGTGCGGCCCGTGTGAGTTGGAACGACGTTCACCAGGCGTTCCTGCGACCAGCAGGCATTGACTCCGTGCCTGGTTTAACGTATGAAGTTGGGACCATAGCGAGGCATCATTACCAAATACCCGTGTTTTCATCCCACCACACTTGCATCCATGCTGCTGACAACAGACCCTGCTCTGCTCTTTCCATCCGTGCGCCCCTGCTGCCTCCGCAAACAGCGACGCTCCCGGCCAAGCCCGCCGCCGCATGCCGCTATCGACGCCGTCCCCGCGGCCGTGCAGTGGATTGTGAATGTCCTGCGCTCGCCTGGAAATAGCGACACGACAAAAATCGCCGGCACGGTCCTCACCCTGCTGGTCAGGTGCCCTGACACCGACGAATGCGCGTCGGGTGAGCAATATCAACACACACGCACACGCACACGCGCGCACGCACGCACACACACACACACACACACACACACACACACGCGCGCGCGCGCGCGCGCAGAGGGACGGGTCCGCGTCAGCAGCCATCAGGGCTAGCAGGTTCTGCACGCCGGCTTGCGCTTTTCGCCAGTCGCCCTTGCTTGCACACGTTGGGACTTAAGGTTGGGCTTACTTCCCCCCGCCGTATTGGAAGTTTCTGTCTTCCGCCAATCAGCCGATGCTGCTCGACCACCACCCCCCCTTCCCTGCTGCTGCCTTGCGTTGCAGGTCGCTTCCTTGATGCTGGAGGCGCGGCCCTCCTGTGCCGCATCTTTGCCGAGGCGCCGCTCACATCGACGCACCTCGACAACGCGTTGCTGTGCACGGAGACGATGAGCAGGATGGTCTTTATCCGCGGCTTGGATCCTCAGGCAGCCCGCGGCCCAGGTCGCATCAGGCAGGGAGGACTGCCCGCGGCGGACTCGGGCCAGTTGATCCCAGCAGTGGTGTCCGTCTTGCAGCGTCCTGGCGCCGCCGGCACCACCGTCGCACATGCTGCAATCGAGGCCTTGCGCAGCTTGGTGGCGATGGTGGGCAACGACTGCCGCCCCAGAACGGCGAAAGTCTTCTGCCGCGCCTTGGCCGCCGCCCCGCGGGCGCTCGAGGCGTTTGCCGCCGAGCTGGCCCCGCTCTCGTCGGCCCCGCCGCCGCGACCCGCCGAGGCCGCCGCATTCTACCAGACGGCCGCGCGCGCCGGCTCCATGGCCGGCGTCGCCCTGGGTGTCGCGCTCTCCGCGCCCGGCGGGGCCGACCCGGCGGACGCACGCGTGATCGCCCGCGCGCTCCTGCCGGCGGCGTTTGGGCCGCTGCGCGGCACGGCCGGCTTGGTGCGCTTGGGGCCGGATTTTGTCGTACACGACTCGCTGCTGCGCGCAGCAGAGGAGCTGGTGAAGGCCGCCGGGCACGACAGGGATGTGGCAGCCGCGGTGCTCAGTGCGCATCCGGGGCTGAGGCGAGACATGGACTGCCTTCTCAAGGCGTACGAGTGCAAGCGCCCGATGAGGGGCGCCCCGCGGCCAGCTGCATCGGCGGCCGCCCAAACCTCGACCCAAGAGGCGCTGCTGGGCATAGACAGCTGGCTGCGCTGGGCAGAGGCGCCAGACCAGCCAGCAGGGCCAGCGCGCTTGGTGAAGGCGCCGGCGAGCGGCGCAGGCGAGGCCGCGACGGGCAGCCCCATGCAGCAGAGGGTGCCGGGGAGCCCGGCCGCTGCCGCGCCGCCCACACCCGTGCCCGCCGCCGCGGCCTCTGCCCCTGCTGCTCCTGCTGCCCCTGCCGCCTGCGCCAACTGTGGCAAAACCGATGCTGCGAGGCTGCGGCTGTGCCGCGGCTGCCGCCTGGTGCGTTTCTGCTCTCAGGAATGCATGCGGCAGCAGTGGACCTCCGCCGGTCACAAGCCCGCCTGCAAGGCTGCGCAGGCGGCGGCGGCAGCAAAGGCAGCGGTGAAGCCGGCAGCGCAGGACGTTGCGGCGGAGCGGGACGCGGCGCAGGGTGCAGGGCAGCAGTGATGAATGGGAGCGAGCTTCTGCATGGCATGCTTTTGCGTGTGATCTGCATTTTAAAATGGTTGATTTCAACTTTCAAGTGTGGATCAGCTTTGTGCACGACCTGGGTTGGGAGGACTGAATTGCTTGCATGCTTGTGTGCTTGTGCAAACAGGGCGCTGAGATCCACTACGCACCTGTTTTTTAAAGTTCCCTGTCCCAGCCTACACGTCCACTACAAAATTACGTTTGATAATGTACAGAAACCAACAAACGCCTCACATAGACAGCGCAACAACAAGAACCGCCGCACGAGATGGCAAGGCCCAAGAACTCTGTTGGTCTGCACAGGGGCCGGGACCGCAGCCGCACCACACTTGGGCCTGCCAGGTAGGAGCGCGATGGCATGGCCTCACGGGGATGTTTGTTGTGTGACTTTGGCGCCGTGCTCTTCAAACTCCGCCCTTGACATCCGCATCTGCTGGAACGACCCCAGAGACGACAGTATGGAGCCGCCTGGGGGGGGGGGTGCGGCAGGGACAGGTGTGTGTATTGAGGAAAAGAAGAGGGTCAGATAGAGGGATTAGATGGGAGTTGTGTGTGCCTGGTGCAATGTGATGCTTGTGTTGGCCGCCACCACCGTCTGTCCAATTATTTGCATGCATGGGAATGAGAAGGGGGGAAGACAGGGCAAGGCAGGCGAGTGGTTGCAACCTAGGGCATTTGCGACCACAGCACGAGCAGCTACTCTTCTCTACCCCACCACAGCAGCTGCCGACCCATACAAGCCCGTTGAGCTCAATCAATTCGCCGACATACACGTATGTATGGGAGCCGCTCTTGATGGTGGATTGCTCGTCGCGCAGACTATACGCCTCACACAGAGTCAAACATGCGAGATCACCCGCGGCAGACATAATCTCGCGCTAGGTCGGAGTTTATGGTATCACCGAAACACAGCAAAAGAATTCTAGCGAACCCTTGAACCCATGGCGTCGGTCACTGGAGGCGTCGCCGAGGCGCCGCTGTCCGGCACAGCGCGTGCGCTGCGCGAGCTGCTGGATCTGGAGGGCCTCATGAGGCGCAAGCCGGGTGCCGTGTCCACCCACCGCAAAGTGGAATATCTGATCTATCAGCTGGCGCGGGAGGTGGACATAAACCCAGACCATCCGCCGCTGCCGGGCGTGCTGGTGGACGGCCTGGCGGGCCTGCTGCAAAGCAGCGCAGGCAGGCGCCAGGGCCGCCTTCTGGCTATCGCGCGCAGACATCACCATCCATGATACCAGACTCACGTACACGCTTCAGGTGTGGCCTGGGTACCATACATGTGCCCGTGTGTTTGCGATACGTGACAATGGGTACCGCTTGGCAGGGACCAGCTTGCCGTGCTTGCGCCTTGCTCTGCGGAAAGTCTGCTGCCCCTGCAGCACCACCAGTCGCGCTACAACGCACCGGCACCTTGTGGAAGCCGTGTCTGACCCCTGACCACTTTTAGGAATTCGGGATGGACACCAAGTGTTGCGACGCACGGCGCGTCTGGCCCCCCTTGCCTTGCGCGCCCTGCGCCACCGCGCCCGCAGCTTGCCGAGCGGCCGGGCTTTGTCGGAGCCCTGCTGAGCTGCGCTGAGGTGGTGAGGGGCGGCGGCAACACGATCATGATCCGCGGCGGTGACCTTGAACCGCTGGGCTGCTTGGCCGCCGTACTCTGTGCTATTTGCAGCGTCATCGGAGGAGAGGCTGCGCTAAGCGCGGCCAGCGGTGCAGGCGACGGCGGGAGCGCCATTGGACTGATGCAGGCGTTTGTCGTCGAAGCCGCTGACGGCTCAAACACCAATATGCATGATATGGCTCTGGCAATCCTGGGGCATCTCAGCATCTTGTGCGTGAGCCACTGCGCGGTGTGGGAGCGCCGCCAGAGCGGCGGTGGCGGCGCCGTCGCGGCGGCTGCAAAGCTCCTCGCCGGCACCAGCAGAGCGCGGGGGGCGCTGTGTCGGGTGTACAATGCAGCGGCCTACCTGGCTGGGTGCTACGCAGACCCCCCTGCCGCAGTCATCGTTGCCGCCCCTGTGAGTTGCGGCGACTTGACGCCGCCGGGGCGTGGCAGGCAATCCTTTGTATAGCAAGCAAGCCTTTTGAACAATAACCAGGCGTCCTTACCTTTGTTGCGCGTTTCAATCCCACCACTTTGCATCCATGTTGCTGACATTAGACCCTGCTCTGCTCCTTGCATCCATGCGCCCCTGCTGCCTCCCCAACAGGAACGCCTCGGACAAAGCCCGCCGCCGCGTGCCGCCATCGATGCCGTCCCCGCGGCCGTGCGGTGGATCGTGGACGTCCTGCGCTTGTCCGAGGAAAACGACACGGCAGAGGGCGCCGTCGCGCTCATGAGGCTGCTGGTGGAGTGCCCTGACACTAGCGAATGCGCGACCAGTGAGTGATACCAACACATACACACAGACAGGGACGGAGCCACATAGGCGTCCAGCAGGTTCTGCATCCCGGCTTGCGCTTTGTGCCGGTGGCCCTTGCACACACAACATGCAGGGCGTACGCTAGCCCCTTGGTGATTTGCTTTTCTCCGCGATCAGTCGATGCTGCTTGACTCCTCTGCTCTGGCTGCTGTCTTGCGTTGCAGGTCTCTTCCTTGATTCCAAAGGCGCGGCCCTCCTGTGCCGCATCTTTGCCGAGGCGCCGCTCACATCGACGCACCTCAGCTACGCGTTGGTGTGCGCGGAGATGATGAGCAGCATGGTCTTCATCCGCTGCCTGAAACTTCATGCGGCCCACGGTGGGGGCAGTGTCAGCCAGGGCGGCCTGCCTGAGGCGGTCTCGGGCCGGCTGATCCCCGCAGTGGTGTCCGTCTTGCAGCGCCCCGGCGCTACCGGGACCATCGTCGCGCGCTTTGCAATCAAAGCTCTGTCCAGCTTGGTGGTGATGGTGGGCGACGACTGCCGCCCCAGAACCGCGAAAGCCTTCTGCCGCGCTCTGGCCATCGCCCCGCGGGCGCTCGAGGCGTTTGCAGCCGAGCTGGCCCCGCTCTCGTCAGCCCCGCCGCCGCCGCCCGCTGAGGCCGACGCATTTCACCAGACGGCCGCATACGCTGGCGCCTCGACAGGCCGGCGACATCCTGACTATCGCGCTCTCCACGCCCGGCGGGGCCGACCCCGAGGACGCACGCGTGATCGCGCGCGCGCTCCTGCCGGCGGCGTTTGGGCCGCTGCGCGGCACCGCCGGTGCACTGCGCTTGGGGCCGCCTTTCGTCGTGCATGAGGCGCTGCTGCTGGCAGCCGAGGAGTTGGTGAAGGCGGCTGGGCGCGACAGTGGTGTGGCGGCTGCCGTGCTCAGAGCGCATCCGGGGCTGAGGCGAGACGTGGACAGCCTTCTCAAGGCGTATGAGTGCGAGCGCATGGCGCAGGCTCAGCAGGCGCAGGGCGCCCCGCAGCCAGCTGCAGCGGTGGCCGCAGCGGCGGCCGCCCCGAACATGACCCAACGGGCGCTGCTGGGCATAGACAGCTGGCTACGCTGGGCAGAGGCGCCAGAGCAGCCTGGGCCGACGCGGAAAGGCAAGGCGCCGCCGAGCGGCGGCGCGGGCGAGGCTGCGGCGGGCGCCCCTGCGCTGCAGAGGGCGCCAGGGAGCCCAGCCGCGGCCCCGCTGCCTGCGCCTGCCTGTCCTCCAGCGGCCCCTGCTCCAGCAGCCCCTGCTGCTCCTGCTGCCCCTGCCGCCTGCGCCAACTGCGGCAAGACCGATGCTGCGAGGCTGCGGCTGTGCCGCGGCTGCCGCCTGGTGCGGTTCTGCTCCCAGGATTGCATGCGGCAGCAGTGGACTCCGGCCGGTCACAAGCCCGCCTGCAAGGCTGCGCAGGCATTGGCGGCAGCGAAGGCAGTGAAGCCGGCAGCACAGGACGTGGCGGCAGTGCGGGACGCGTCGCAGGGTGCAGGTCAGGGGTGACGAATGGGCGTGAGCTTCTGCAGTGCATGCCTTTGCTTTTGATCTGCATTTCAAAGTTCTTGGTTTCACGTCTGGAACAGCTTTGTGAGCGACCTGGGATTGGAGGACTGGAGTGCATGCATGCGCGCATGCTTGTGCGAGCCAGATGTGCTGCTATCCAGCAACCACCTTTGATTCCAGAGGTTCCGTGTCGCAGCCTGAGTGATTACAACTAGACTGTGAAAATCAAGCAGAAACATCCACGTATGAACAGTGATGAACAGTGCCTCAAAACACGTGCCGCACAAGTTGGCATGGCCGCAGCTGCACCACACTTGGGCCTGCCAGGCGCCCAGAGAGCCTCAGGGCGATTTCCGGTGTATGAGTCCGGCACCGTGCTCCTCGAACTCCGCCTTTGACATCCACATCTGCTGGAACGACCCCAGAGACGACAAAATGGAGCCGCCTTGGGGCGGAGGGACAGGGGAGGGGCACGGGGATGTCACGCGCCATGCATGTCTCTTGCTACGTGATGTGTGTGTGTGTGTGTTGTGTGTATTGTGTGTGTGTTAGCGTGTGTGTGTGTGTGTGCGCGCGCGCGTGCGTGCGTGCGCACGTGCATGCGGGTGTGTGCATGCATGTGTAGTTTATGGAGTGCATGTGCACGTGTGTGTGTGTGTGTGTGTGTGTGTGTGTGTGTGTGTGTGTGTGTGTGGACATCTGTGTGTGTGTGCACGCGCGCTTGTGCGCGAGTGTGTGCATGCACGCATGTCTGTGAATAAGCGAGTGCGCACGCAGGCAAGTGTGCAATCCACACTTGCGTGGGGGTGGGGGCAGGGCAACGCTTTGAGGCGATAGCATCAGCACACCGCGCCTGAGGTGCCAACCTGGCCACTCAACCAGAATTCTTGCAATCGGCATGCAGGCCTTTGCTGGAACGCGCACAGAACAACTTTTCATCTGGGCGAGGGAGGTGAATACAGCCAGGGCAGCACGCACCAATCCAGGTGGCGAACCGCTTCTCTGTGGGGTTGACTGGCGCGTTGACTTTGACCTTGGTGCCGCCAGGCGCCAGCGCGGTCAGCTCCCGCTCTAGCCGCTCACGCACGTTGGGCGTCAGGGACGTGCCACCTGCCCAGCCGGTCGGCCAACAAAATTGGGACAGTGAAGGGGGGGGTCAGGGGATGTACAGAAGCATGCATCAGGGCTGCAAGGGCTTGGGTGCAAGAGGACTTGTGCGGCACGTCCCTGCCAAGGAATTTGGCACGCAAGCTGCCAGCGCTATGTCCTGCCACAGGCAGGGCCAGGGAAATTCAACGAGCGTGCTGGCTGCGACGTGGGGGCCGGCGCGGTGGTGGGCTGTCAGACTGCCCCTCGCACCCGTGAGGACGATGCTGCTCCAGAACTCCCGCCGCACGTCACCGTCGCACCCATCGATGGCGTTCTTGACCATGGCTTTGTGTGTGTGTGTGTGTGTGTGTGTGTGTGTGTGTGTGTGTGTGTGTTGGGGGTGAATTGGACGAGGGCGCAAAACTTAGAATTCGGCCATAAAGCTAAGAATCCATGCATTGTCTCTGAACGGGGGACCCAAAGTCAGGCAAGGGTTCGCGTGTCCCAAGCTGCAGCACAAGAACAGGGCGCCTCGAAGCGTTGCACTGCGCGCTCGCGCAAGGGCTTTGCGCGGCGCAGGGTCGGGCCCCACGGCTCGGGGGGCGTGCGGCGGCCGCCCTGCCGTGCGGCCCTCACCTGGCCACGACAGCAGCTGGCGGCCCAGGACCAGCGGGTCGTTGTCCATCCCCGGGAATGACGACACGCGCGCCTGGGGGCACAATGGAATATATCAGTGTGGGTTGCATCAGCTGTGTGGGACTGAAATCAGCCGCAGGCGCCATTGCAGGGTGGCTTGTGACGACGGATGGAGGTATGAGACAGCATCCGCTGGGAAGGGGGTTGGGCGCGGCGCGACTCGCAGGCGGGCAGCGCCATGCGAGACGGGTGGGGCTTGCCAGGCTGCCGGGCGGTCATTGCCGAGGACACCGGGACGGGGGACGAGCCAGCTGGCGCCTCAAGCCCCCTTGAGCCAGTGGTGCATGCGTCCATTACAAGCCCAGGCGACGCCTGAAAGCCATCGAGCGCTGTTTGGCCCACCGTTGAGAAGAGCGTCTCTGTGACGCGGAACCTGTCCGGGCCGATGTTGAGCTCTGTGCCATCAGGCAGCTGCGGGGCCGATGGGGGTGGGCAGTGCAAGGGGCCGGGCAGGTGGGGGTCCAGGTGGAGAGGGCACGCTGGTGAGAGCCACCAGATAAGGCGAAAGAATTTTCCAGGACACGGATAAGCTAAAAACCTGCTGAGTACAGGTCAAGGCTGGCACATGGCAGGTGGCACACGCTGCGCTGCAGAACCAAAGCAAGCCCGGTGCTTGGGGGTCAGTTGTGTGGCGCACCTCGTACAGCGCGTAGGGCATGCTGGCCCCCTCCTGGTCGTTGAAGGTGGTGTCGCTGGCCTTGCACAGGCTCTCCTTCGCGTCCTGCGCCACCTGGTGTTTTCAAGTGGGCGCGCATACGTGTGTTTGTAAGTTTCAAGGGGTCGTGTGATTGAGTAATCGCACAAGGCTGTCCAAGGACCGGATGCAGCACCATGCGCCGCACGCACACGCCACTCCCACCTGCTCCAGACCCCAGGCGTCATAGGAGGCCGTTATGTTGGTGTTCGCCTCCACCACAGTCTGCTCAGTTGATAATCAACATGGGAACGCGGACGGAGGAAGAGGGGGCAAGCAGGGTCGAAGACTTCATTGGTCCTGATCGGGAGCAACCTTGCACCGCGACACGCCAGCGCCCGCAAACTTAGCGCGCCTGGCGCCGCCCGCGGCCGCGCCGCACCTCGTACTGCGCAAAGTCCGGGATGGGCACGCGCTTGAACATGTGGCGCGCCATGAGCTTGGAGCCCTTGGACTCGAGCTCCTTCTCCAGCACCTTCTGCATGCACTTGGTCAGCAGGGCGCCGCCCAGGGCGGTGCGGGCGACGCTCTTGTTGAGCACAAAGCCCTCGTGGACGGCCGCCACTGGGGGGTTTCAGAGGGCACAGGGGCGGGGCGGGAGGCGGGGCGTGTGGGGGCAAAGGCGTCGTGACAAGGGGCGAGGGCCTTGACTTGAAACAAGAAGTGATGCAGCCGCGATGGGGTTGACAGTGTGGAGGTGGGTGCGGCAGGAGCGCTAGGGTGCAGGACGCAAAGCAGAATAATTATGAAGAAGCTAAGTGCTTCAACTTAACGCATTTGACAGCCTGGGCGTGGCCTAGAAGCCGGCAGCGGGGCATTGGCGGCGGCGTCGGTCGTGGAAGCGGCTGCCTAGCGGCTGCTTTGGCGAGCATCCTGCTGTTTTGGAGCCCGCACAGGTTTGCTGCCTCACCCACGTCGTCCTCTTTCCGTTTCAATTCGTTCCGACCCTACACCAGCCGCTCTCGTCCCCTCCGCAGCCTTTGGGGTAGTGATCAGCCTGTGATCGCCATGAGTGAGGCTGTGAACCCGAAGGCGTACCCGCTGGCCGACGCCCAGGTGCGTGCAGAGGCCTGCTGAGAGCTTGCTACGTGCCATGGCATGGGCTAACGCGCTCGCCACCCGGTTCCGCAGCTCACGAACACCATCATGGACATCGTGCAGCAAGCCTCAAACTACAAGCAGCTCAAGAAGGGAGCCAACGAAGGTGTGTGAAAGCGCATGCACCGCTGTAGGGAGGTCATATGCCAGCAGCAGTCTCACTCCCCCGCGCTTGGCCGTCACTGCTGCCGAACGCAGCCACCAAGACGCTGAACCGCGGTATCTCCGAGTTCGTGGTGATGGCGGCTGACACTGAGCCCATTGAGATCCTGCTGCACCTGCCGCTGCTGGCTGAGGACAAGGTGCGTGCTCCGGCGGCAGCCGCCGCTCGAGTTGGTGTGGCAGCTCGGGTACAGCAGCAGCAGCAGCAAAGGCTGCTCAATCGTTTTGCATAACCCCACTCACATGTTATACATGCACAGAGAATACACACTCACACACACATACACACACGCACGCATGCACACATGATACAAATGCAGAACGTGCCCTACGTGTTCGTCCCGTCCAAGGCGGCGCTGGGCCGCGCGTGCGGCGTCTCGCGCCCCGTTATCGCGGCATCGGTCACCACCAACGAGGGCAGCCAGCTCAAGAGCCAGATCAACAGCCTCAAGGTGGGTGAGGGAGACGCATTGCAGCAACAGCCAACTCTCCTTGCTGCAGCGTGCACCCATCAGCATTGGGACAATGCCGCATCGAAGCTACGGCATGCCCGTTGACGGCTCCGTCACTTATTTGCCGATGTTCGCAGGATGCCATCGAGAAGCTGCTGATCTAAGGATGTGGCTATCTGAAGCACCCCAAAGGGCTGCTGCTCTACGCAAGGACAAGGCGGCGAGGCGGGCGCGGCGCAGACGGGCGGAGGCGGTGGGCGGGCGGCTAGATCCCCTGGTTAAAGCCCCCCACAAGAAACACACCTCTTATTGCGCTGACGTCTGTGCCCTGAGAAAGGGCGGACAAACTGCGACCCTAACCTGCAGCTGGCGCTGTAAAGCAGCCCTACATTCCCGTTGATGTGAGCGGCTGCCGTCGAGCAAAACAGAAATGGAATCCCAGCAAGCAGAAAGCACTAACGTTGCCGAATGGCTTGCTTAGCCCAAGTCAGATTATGCATTATCCAAACAAGCAGCTGAGCAAAGCTGGGGTCAACACCCCACACGCGTGCACAGGCAGCGCAGCCCAGCAGACACCCCCCCGCCCACCTGTGGTCCCCCGGTAGCCCGCGTCCACCACGAGCGCCGTCTGCTTGCCCACCGCGAACGCGCTGAGCACCGCGCTCTTCGCTAGGTACAGGGCCGGGCAGCGCTGGCTCTCGAACAGCAGCTCCACCGCCTTCTCGCGCGCGGCGCGCGTGTTGTGGGTGGGCTCTGCCAGCATGATGGCATTCTCCTCCGGGTTGACGCCTAGGCGATCCCTGAGGGGCGGAGGGCGAATTCGTATACCGTAAAAGCGAGAGGGTGTGTTGGCAAGTGTGTGTGTGTGTATGTGTGTGTGTGTGTGTGTGTGTGTGTGTGTGTGCGTGCGTGAAAGAGAGAGAGAGTGCGCACAGGCATGTGTATGCTTGTGCGTGCACGGACGACTGTTTGTATGTGTGAGGGCGCATGTGTAATGGGCTATGCCTGCATTGATGGGAGCGTGGAGCCACGCGCGCAGTGCCGCTGCGGCCTCAACTCTTCGGCCTCTAGCCCCCCGCTAGCAAGCCCAGCGCGCGGCGCCCCCCAGTCCCGCCCGCATCGGCCTGCCCAGGCCCCCTCACTTGAGCGCGTGAGTCCACAGCTTGTCTGCAATGTCCCAATCCTGGATCAGGTCATCAGGGCCCAGTGCGCTGACAACCTGATGCGATGGCGGACGCAGCATGGTGCGAATGCGTTGAGTGGGAGGATGACGTGGGCGCGGAGGCCTGCAGGCCAAGCACGAGCTGGCCTGGGCGGCGCCTGCTGGGAGAGGGTCGGCAGCTTGCTGCGGCACGTCACAGCCGGCGCGCCGGATGCGGTGTTTCTGCGTTCAAGGCCGGGATGCCGCTGCAGCAGGCGAGGCCCACAATGCCGCTTCAAGCAGTCTTGCAAGGCCCGTGGCCGGCGCTGCAGCTCAAACGCCAAAATTGTTTTGAGAGTTGGGAGTGCGCCGGGCCGCACCTCCATGCCGTCCCGCTTGAAGGACAGCGCCGTGTTGCCTACATGGATGCCACGCGCCCCCGCTGCGCCGCTGCCCTCGACGCCGTTCGCGTCCGACGGCGCCACCACGCCCGCCACCTGCGGGGGCGATGGGCGGCGGCAGGGAATCGGCGCCATCTGATGCGCAGCAGCCCCACGTCACGGCGAGGGCCGCTCTTCACCTCTCACAGCACAGCAGCTCGGCACTGGGTGCAGCACCCAATGATGATATGCTGGTTCAAACGCCCACAAAGGCCCTCGCTGCATCTTTAATTCGGCGGATGAAATCGGCGGGACACCCAGCAGTACGCACTGCAGGGAAGACCGCTTTTGGGGTGTCGTCGCCCGCGTAGCCCGCGCGGCACAGGCAGCCGCCTAGATCTATAACCACCGCATTGACCTCATCTGCGAATGCACAGCGCACCGGCAAAAGAAGGTGAGGCCACCCCTTCCAGCGCGGGCGTCCGCCGCAGTGCAAAGCAGCAGGCGGCAGATGTGCAGCGCATCGTGTTGTCGCCACCACTCAGGTACTCACCTCCACCATAAACTGCGTTAGCAGCCATCTAAAGCCTCTATCCCCCTTCCAACTCCCCTAAACGCTCCTGGTCGGTGCCCTCTAGATCATACGCCCCGCGATCTCGCAGAATTTCCAGAAGCTAACGATCGGTTTGTGTTAGGATACATACATACACTTTATAAGTCGAATTTCGTTAATTACCCTTCACATTAGCCCCCTTACCGGTATCGTTTCGCGCGGCTCCACGTATCACTCTATAGCGCAGGCCGAACGCGTCGTCATCAGCAGGTCGCCAGCTCCGTTACATAGCGCGATATCACTCGGATGCACACAATGCGCATTGCCTGCCAGCGTGCCTCCAGCCTCATCGTCGTCAACGCCCGCCTCGCCGCACCCCGGCCACTCGCTGCCGGTGCAGCCCCTGTCCGGCGCTCCTCCAGTGCAGCCCACCAGGTGTGGCATGTAGCAGGTTGCTTGGCCAGCATGCACCGCCGATGGCTGCCTCTGCAGGCCGCCATGCACTTCAAGTGCAGCAATGGAGCCGGCGCAAAGCAGCAGGGCGTGCGTGACGGCATGGATGCTGAGGCATCCTCTGCTACCCGTCCTCATGCGCCAGTTGCACCTTGCACCATCAAGTTGCTCACTCACACACCACACCCCAACCTACCTTCATCTTGGCTGCTGCTGGAACAGGCCTTCGCCGCGCCCTTCGGCACCTCTTTTGGCGCGTCGTCCTTCACAGCACCACTCGCTTCTGCGCCTCGTGCCCCTCACCTGTCGCGCTCGGTTGCCACGGCTGCAGGGGACGGCAGCTCCGGGAGTGAGCTTTGGGGGCAGCTGCTGAGGAAGGGTGGGGACGTCAGGGGCGTGGAGCCAGAGCAGTGGCAGGGCAGGCATTCGCAGCGCTGGAGGGGACCTGGCACAAGCAAGGGTCGACCCTCCGACATATACCCAAACATGCATAGGTCAAACAAACTCGGTGCTAACACATGTTGAGTGTGTCGCATCCCCCTTGTGTCCCCCTTCTGCAGTGGCAACGGCCGTTGTGGGCACCGGGTGCTTCTGGTGAGATCTCCGATCATGGTTTCCTTGCCGCCTCGTGGGGCCCCCATGAGCACTGTGTTGCCGACTCTGCCCTGTGCGCCCAGGCCCGCGTCACAGGCCAGACCAGAGACATCCCGCCGCCCGCAGGCTCCATGTACCCCTTCCCTTCGCGACTGCTCCCTCACCCTGCATCTCGCCCCCGGCATGCGAGGCGCAAGCATGCGCTGCAAATTGCCCTCTGCTTGTTACCAATTCTGGTCCTCTTCACTACCGTACGCATTTTCCAATACCATCAGGTGCACAGAGGCGTGCTACCAGCAGATCAAAGGCGTGAGCAGCGTCGTCAGCGGCTATGCTGGCGGCCACGTCTCAGACCCCTCATACGAAGCGGTGAGAGCCTCAGCACACTCAGCCGACTCTTGCGCCGGGGCGCCCTTGTGGCATTCCTGCCTCACTGCTTGCTGTCTGCCTGACTCAGCAGTACCCACAACACCAGCATTGCAGCCGACTCGCGCCTGCGCAAGAGCTTTGATTGGACCTGCAGCAGTCAGCCCTGAGACACCGCATTTAATATCCATTGTTGCAGGTGTGCGGCAAGAAGACCGGTCACATCGAGGTGGTCAAGATCACCTTTGACCCTGCAGTGGTGTCGTACAAGGAGCTGCTGGAGGTCTTCTTCACAATCCACGACCCGACCACGCCAGACCGCCAGGGTGCGTAGCCGTGGCCCGTGAACCAATGCAACGGGTGCACGCCCCTGGGTTGCGCACGCACACAGCGCACTACGTTCGGGGCTCGCCTTGGGGCGCGCAACACGGGCTGGTGGGCTCGGCAAGGGGTGCCGCCCAGCAGATGCCGCGGGTTTGCTTTCAGTCACAGTGCACCCTATGTGTGCTTCCTGGGCTGCGTGCCCTGTGACCTGGGGAGCATAACGGGGGCCCCTGGGGATCCAGCACCTGCCCGACTGCTGTGGCGCCCGCTGTATCCTGTTCCTACCCTCAAACTGCAGGCAATGACGTAGGCCCGCAGTACGCGTCGGCGATATTCTACGCTGACGCCGAGCAGGTGCGGGGCCGAAGGCCCACCATCAGCCTGGCAGCGCTGCGGCGGGCCACTGTGGCGGGCCACTGTGGCGGGCCCCTGGGTGGTCGCGCACTGGCTGCTCTCACCAGCAGTTGCTGGCCCTATGCCAGCGGCCGGCTTCCTGGCCGCTCCCACGCACGTCCTTGCAGGCTGTTTGTGCCGACCCAGTTTTCCCAGGTCTCAAGCACTCAACACTCACGCCGCTTTGCAACCCATTTCGACGTGGTCGTGCAACGCAGGAGGCTGTCGCCAAGGAGGTGCGTGAGCAGGTGACCAAGGACAAGCTGTGGCCCAACCCCATCGTCACCAAGCTGCTGCCCCTGGCCACAGACGGCCCCGCGCAGTTCTGGTCTGCCGAGGTGAGCCCGCACACCCCTGTTCGCGCCTGTTCTCTCGTGGCATCCATTGGCTAAGGCAGTACATGTGATACTCCCACTGAGGGGGGCGGCCGGGTATACAGGTTACCACACGGGTGTTCATCACGCGCATTTACACCCCCTCCTCGCTCGGCCACCGTAGCTCGCGCGCGTGTTTCCGCGCCGCCCGCACTCGGCTCACTCCCGCGGGCGCGTCCTTCCTTCTGCCACACGCCGCCAACCGCACCGCAGAAGTACCACTGGGACTACTTCAACCGCAACCCCGGCCAGCCCTACTGCATGTTTGTGGTGGAGCCAAAGGTCGCCAAGTTCCGCAGCAAGTGGGCCGCCAAGCTCATCAAGTGATCTGCCAGTCGATCTTGACAACCAGGCCGGCTCTCTGTGATTTGGTGCTATCAGTCTGCCTGTTATCATATCTGCGGACAGCCACCTGTGATAACGGTCTGGCGCATGCTGTGCAGAGGCGGATGCGCAGAGCGGTCAGTGCGGTGCTCACCTCTGGTGGCGCGGCTTGGCATCGCGCACGCGCGCGCCCCAAGCCCCGCAATAGCTTGGAATGCCGGCTTTGTTGCTGAGAGGGGACATGTTCTGGCATGCGTTCATGACTATGCGGACCACTTTTCTTGGGGGTCTGGTTGCGTGGGTTTTGACCAACTACATGGGTAGCTGCAACGCTTGAGTTGAGCATTCGTGCTGCCCATTCTCAACCTTGTGAGAGCCCGACTGCACCATCCCTTATTGCAATCGTCCTTTTTGTTGCGTGCCATTCTGCACGCACTCCTGTAATGTTGTGGCGCAGCCATGCAAGGCTCTTGCGGCAGTTCGGCGCAGGCACTAATTATCCAGCCGGCGCTCATCAGGAGGGCTGCATGTGCGCAGCAGAGCGCACGCCGCCTTGCCACCAAAGCCCAGTGGGGACGAGAGGGCGGGCAGCACCCCGGGCGGCCGTCCCGCCGAGGATCGGCTCGTTGCAGACGCTCCTGTAGGTGTGTGACGCAACAGTTGAACCGACACTTGCTGACCACTGGTCTATGGCATAGCAAGCAGGGCAAGGGAGCAGGGGCAACCCTTGAAATGATTTGCTTCCCGGGGTTGTTTGGGGCAAAAGGAACAAGTGCTGGATAGTCACCTTTCTACGCCCCACAGATGCTCTGAGCATCCACGACAAGACACCAGTGGCCTAAGCTGAGACCATTCGGGGTGTTTCTTCCAAGCTGCTGGGCTGTCTGCCAAATTGATGGTCACAAGATACGCAGGAGCGCTGTGGGTGTCAAGTGTGCTTTGCCAGTGGCACTGATGCTCAGTCGGCCGAAATGATTGAATAGCGCCACTGTCAAAGCCACGTTGTGGCAGGGGTATGCAACTTAAAGTACGCCGCACTCAATCACAGCGAGTTCAGTACCAGCTCTGTCAGCGCTCAATGAAGCCTGCAACCTTGGACTCCCAACTGTCACGCCCAGCAGACACACGGGCACGGACTTTATCAGCCCGTGGTTACAGATAGAAGTCACAGTGGGGTTCCCAACACTTTTAGATACTCTGAAGTCATGGCAGCCAGCACGATGGGCACGGCGCTGGCAGTATTGGTGGCCCTGCTGGCGACCGCAGCTACGGCCCAGCAGATCCCCTCCAGCTCTGACTGCCTTGCGCGCACGCAGTCCATTGGCGAGAACAATCTGCTTCTCAGGTACGCGCGTGACAAGCACTCCTCTTTAAAACGCGGCGACGTTGGAAACGTAGGGCACGCGGCGCGAATAATTGTGGTCGCGGCCCGTCGAATACCCCGCTTCTCACAGGCTCTCCGCGTGTCAAAGTGGTGCTTCAAGCCAGTGCTGCAGCCAGGTGCGCTTCAAATCAGGGGGCAATGGGGCCGCCGGTGCTGAGATTGGGGTTGTGACAGGGGTTGACACCCAAGGTTGCGTGTCACCCACACCCAAGCTCATCTCACTCGGGGGCACAGCCACATGCGAAATCCCAAAGAATCTTTGTCAATTGGAATCTGGAATCAAGGAGTTCACGCGTGCCTTGCTGCCCCCCGCACGCTCGACGTGCGACCCTTGCACGCGCTCACAGGCCAACGGCCTGCTGGCTGGCAGCGGCGAGCTCGCCTACTGCCTGTGCAACAAGGATGTTCTGGACACCACGCTCTCCACCATCCAGAACAACCCCCTGGCCCGCAGCGCGGGTGTGACTGGCGCGGCGATCCAGCAAGTGTGAGTGCCATAGCACAGCGTGCGTTCACGCGGCATTTTGTGCTGGGCTTCTGCAGGATTTGGAACAAGACCAATGTTAGGTCTGATCGCGGGCAGCTTCCTCACTGCTACTGCATGCTCTGGAGGTAATCAGCAATGCACGCGTTTATCAACAGCAGTGCAACTGCAATCTGCAGAGCTGAAACCTTCCTATCAACTGGCACCTGTCCGGCAGTTTGCAGCTCGAGCCTGCCCCCTGTATGCGCTTTAACATAAACGGCACACACACCACACGAGGGCCCCCGTGAGAGGGCTAGCAGCCCTCTCACGTCTGTCGCACTCTCACCTGCTTCGCCGCTCATGCCATCTATCATCTCACCACCTCAGCCTCTCTCAGTGTGGCGTCCCAATCGCCGGCAGCAATGCGTGCAAGGCCGGCGGCGGCGTGAGCGTCCAGGCCCCCGGCACCCAGGTCCAGGTTGCGCGCGGTGGCGCGACCTCCGTCTCGGCCCCTGGGACCCAGGTCAATGTCGGCGGCGGCGCCGGCGGGGGCGGTGGCGGTGCCGCCGCTGCTGCCCCTGCGGCGGGCCAAGGCGGTTTCTTCGCAAAGAAGCACCCCTTCCTGTTCGCTCACCACCCACTCCTTCAGGGGTTGGCGCAGGGCTGATGGCGGGTGGTCGACGGCCGCATGCCCTCAGCGGTGGCTGTGACGACTAGGGGCAACACAACGAGATGCGAGGCAGGCTGGCAGCTGCAGATTGCAACCCTCTGACGCATTGCCGACCGCCAAGCGAGTCTGAGACGTGGCGGACTTCAGTGCCGATAATATGCTCTGCTGCTCCTTTGCCGGGGTCCAGGAACAATCTTGTTTGAGGAGTCCTGCAGGAGGTTGCTTGGGCGGGCTTGCAAGTGAGCGGTGGGCAGGTCAGCCATCGACCACACTTTTGTCAGGGCTGATGAAACTGGCAAGTCATGATGTAAAACTTTGAATCACAACTCATATGACACCTCAGCCTGGTGCTGCAGGGCCCTGCGGTTGTGCAACCAACAGCATGCCAGCGTCACTCGAGTGATGTGAACTTTGCACTTGCCTCCACACTCCAAATGCTTTGTGCGTGGTCGATGCCGTCGCGCATCTGCAGGCACATAACGTAGCATACATCGACTGTTGCGCATACAACGCCGTATAGCGCCCACAACCGACGATCTGGACCAGGGACCAGGACCAGCAGCAGTATGAGGGCATCGGTGCTATCCAAAGCTGGCCGGCAACATCAGGCATCCGCCACAGCCCGCACGCGCTCGGGGGCCCCATGCAAGCCGCGCCTGGTGTCCCGCCAGGTGGATTTTTCACGCAGTGGCGGGTCTGCGCTCTGGGCTCGAGGGTTTGGAATTGAAGCCATGTCCGTATACCTTTGGGGCCCCAGTTGGCCGAATGGGCGGGCCTAGACCTGATCTGCTCTCCCGCACTGGCGCCACTCATTCAAATTGCTCCCGCTGGATTGAATGGTGTCCATGTAGGCTCTGCCTGAGGCCGTGACCGTGGTTTCAGACCTAGCAGCCTCCGACGGGTCAACGCTGGCGACGATCGCCGGCTTTGTGGCCGCCGGCGCCGCCGCTTTCTATGCAGTTGGCCAGAAGAGCCAGGTTGGTGTTAATGCAAGGATCACCAATCAAGCACAGAACGCCAATAAAACTCTTGCTCATGCTGACCTACATCCGCCGCATACACCTGAGCCTCCACGTGCGTTTCGGCAACCACCTGCTCTGTTCTTGCTGGCACGGGCGAGCAGCCGTGCACAATACTAACCCCGTTCAATCTCCACCGCCCGCCCGCCGCGTCCATGCCTCATCCTATCATGAAAAGGCCGAGGCGCTATCAAAGGAGCTCGAGGCTCTGAAGGCAGCGTCAGGCGGCGCCGCTGCGCAGGGCGCGGCTGATGGCGCCGGGGCGGACGACGCCACGCTTGCCGCGCTGCAGCAGCAGCTCGCGCAGGCGCAGGCGGCGGCGAAGGACGAGTCCGCGAAGCGCGCGGCTGCGGTGAAGGAGAAGGTGAGGAGAGCCGCACGCGTTGGGGGCCTTGGAAATTCATGGTACAAACGGCGGTTCACGGCGAGTTGCAATGGACAGCAGGCCTGCCTTCAGACACAAGTTTGCAGCTGGACAAGCCAACAAACTGCACCCTAGTAGCACATTGAAAAAGAGCCCCAGAAGGGCTTGTTGAATGGAAATTTATACTTGTCGCATCGCCGCTTTCACACCGCTCGGCCCTAAGCAACCTGTGTTCAACCGATTTTGTATCCAAACCGCGTGACAGGAGTCCTCGCTGGCCGCGAAGCAGTCGGAGCAGTCCAAGCTCCAGAACGAGCTCTCTGCTGCGCAGCGCGCGCTGACCGACGCCTCCGCTGCGCAGCGCACCGCCGAGGCTGCCGCCGAGGCCGCAGCGGCGCGCGCCGCCGCCGCAGAGGAGCGGCTGTCGGCCGCGTCCCAGGCGGCCGCGGCTGCGGCCGCGGAGCTGGGCGGCCTCAAGGCGGCGGCTGCCAAGAAGCTGTCTGACCTGGAGGCGCAGCTGGCGGAGGCGTCGGCGGCGGTCAAGAAGGCGACCGAGGAGAAGGAGGCTGCGGAGGCGGGCGCGGCGCGGGCGCGCAGTGAGATGGGCAGCGAGCGCGCCAAGGCGTCGCGCCTGCAGGTGACAGGGCGGGCGGCGAGTCCCACGACATGAAGGGGACCGCGGCTCTTGATGAGACCCCGCTTTGAGCGAGCGGCCGCGCTGCGCAGCGCGCCGCCTGGGCAGCATCCCCGCC